ATACAAAAATGAACTCAAAACGGATCACAGACTTAAACGTAACACGTACAACTATAAAACTTTGAGAAAAGAAACATAGGAGAAAATCTTTGGGATCCAAAGGCTCTTAGACTTAGACTCAACACAAAACATTCTTAGACTCGACACAAAAAGCACAATGTATATAGGAAAGATTGATAAACAACCTCACCAAAGATTTAGAAATTTGTTCTGCAAAAGATCCCATTAAGAGGATGAAAAGACAAGACACAGACTGGGAGAAAATATCTGCAAACCATTTATCCAACAGAGAAGGAATATCTAGAGTATATAAAGAACTCCCAAATCCAACAGTAAAAACCCAAACAATTCAGCTAGAGAAACAACATGAGCAGACACTTCACCAAAGACAGGTGGCAAGTAAGCGTGTGCAAAGATGTTCAATATCACTGGCCATTTGGGAAATGCCAATTAAAACCACAGTGGAACATCATTTACACCTGCCTGAGTGGCTAACATAAAAAAAAAAAAACAGCAATGAGACCAAAACTCCAGGGAGGATGCAGGTGTGGATCACTCGGATATTGCTGGTGGGAACAGAAATTGTTCAGCCGCTGCAAAAGCTTGACAGTTTCTTCCAAAACTAAGCATGCATACTGTATGTCTCAGCAGTTGTACTCTTGAGCATTTAATGATGACTTATGCTCCCATGAAAACACGAATGTTCACTGCCGTTTTGTAATAGCCCAAACCGGGAAACAGCCCACCTGCCCACCAACAGGTGGATAGTCAAACTGGGATGCACCCAGGCCATGGAACACCACAGAACTCCTGGCCATGGAAAGGACAGACTGCCAGAGGATTACGCTCAGTGAAAAAGTCAATCCCAAAAGGTTACATACTACATGATTCCATTTGTACAACATTGTCGAAAAGACAAAATTGCAGGAATAAAGAATAGACTGGTGGTTGCCAAGTGTTCGGCTGGGAGGTGTGGCTAAAAAAGGGTAACAGGAGGACCCCGGTAGCACTGGAAATGTTAACACATACACACACACACACACACACACACACACACACAAATGTCAATGCCCTGGTTGTGATATTGTATTATACTTTTTTAAGATGCTACCATTGGGAGAAATTGGATAAAGGATACATGAGATTCTTCTGCATTATTTCTTGTAACGCTGTGAATCTACAATTATGTCCCAAAATAAAATTTTAAATAATGGTATCTGTGCCTTGTATTGTATTTCTACTGGACAGCCCTGCCCCAGAGCTTCCTGGCTCCCCCATGTCCCCCTGTCCCATCTTGGTCCAGCATGAAACCAGAGCACCCCCAGCCCCACAGTACCTGGCTCCTTTTGTTGCCAAAGACCCCACTGCCCATCAGGGGCAACCAACCTCCTTCCTCTCTGTCTCTGTCATCCCGAACTGGTAGTGGCCCAGGAGGAAGGGCCACACGGCCTTGCGGATCTCCGGCTGGATGCCCCCATAGTAGACGAGGCGTAGCAGCTCCTGCTCCTCGTAACTCTGTGGTAGGTGGGAGGAAGTAAAGGGTTTGGTCAACAGAAAACCAGAAGGAGGGCTCTGTGAGCTGGCAGTCCCACTTCTCAGACGTGGCCTTTAGAGATCATGGTGTGAATAAGCAAAGCCGTGTGTACCGGGATATCCATCCTGGCATCATATGGGAAAACCCCCAACTACCCGCTGATGGGAATACCAGCAAAGAGAAGAAAGGGAAGGAGGTTCATCCGTGAACACTTACACAAAAAGATGTTCAAAGTGTATTGTTAAGTGGGGAAAAAACCAAGATGCGGAACATATCTAGTGTGAACCCATTTTTTGCAAAAAACCCGAAAGGTCAGTACAGAATGAGTTAACATTTCTACTTAATTTTTAGTCAGTTTTGTGCATTATGTTGATATGGCAACATTATCTCAAAGTTATTAATCTTGACTCAGCTCAAAGAAAATTGTTTAAAAGCAAATCAGTCCAAAATGAACATTTCCAGCTGGTTCTTCATGCACTAATAACTTCTGTGCATGACTAGGATGACTTTAACAACTGTTTGCTGTACTGTCCAATAGATTTGCCCTCTTTTTAAAAATTCATTTTCAGGCAAAGGCTTTGCAGTTATAATTAGTCACGCTGGGGGACCAGCAGGTTCTATCTGTTCGTGTGTGTGTGTGTGTGTGTGTGTGTATGTGTATGGAAAGTACCAATGACTACTAGAAAGTTACTCTGAAGGGTAGTGGGGTTCTGTTTCCTCCTCTCTCTTAACATTCCAAAATTACAAGCATATTTCACATTTTTTAAAGTAAGCTCAATGCCCAATGTGGGGTTCGAACTCACAACCCTGAGATCAAGAGTCGCATGCTCTACTGACTGAGCCAGCCAGGCGTCCCACTGATTTTACATCTTAATGCTCATCTTAGATGTACCTGACGACAATGGCAAAACCAGCCACTCTTTTGTCTTTGTTGGAAATTTTAATTTGTATTCTGCAGACAGCTTTGTCAAAGCTGTTTAAAAATCAGAGAACTATTTGTGGCTGAGGCTGTAAACTCTTCATCAAAAATCCACCTGCTTGGGTCCTGGAGCCCACAGCTGGACTCCATTTCCCAGCCTCTCTTGCAGTAAGGGGTGGCCATGTGACAAGGTACCGGCCAATGTGATGTGACAGGATGTGATATAAGCCATTTCCTGGCCAGGGCTTTGAAGAAGCAGGTGTATTCCCTTCAGACTCTCCATTTCCTCTCTGCTGCCTGGAGGCAGATGACCATGCGGCTCTGGAGGATGGTGGGGCCACGAGACCCCTGAACCTCTGGAGGGAGGACAGATGCCCACTCACCAGGAATGCCCACCTAGGACTCCTCAGTAAGCAAGAAATACACCCCATGATGTCAAGCAACTGAAAAAGTGTGGACTATTTGTTACTGTGGCTCAGTGCACCCTAATACAACAATGCAACCAAGAAAGGTAAAAATATGGCCGGTTTGTGAAAGGGCTGCAAAAGTGTTAGACGAAAAATATTCATTTTTGACTGATTTATTTTTTCAACCAACTTGTCCCTAGACTAGTACCTCCCAAATTGGGGAGATCACTAGAAGCATTTGGGGAACTTTCAAAAAATATAAATTCTTGGGCTCCACTCCCAGAGATGCTAAATCAGTAATGCTGGAGTGGAGCCCAGAAGTCTATAAATCTTTTTGAATTCCTCAGGAAATGTGCACTCTCCCAGGCTGCCGGGGATTATGAACACTATGACTTTTTTTTTGAGAAAGTAAGTTCGTATATCTATTTAAATTTTAAATGCATAGCAATTTAATTTCTAGGAATCTACCCCTGAATAAAAGCACTGGTCAGAATGATATGTGCTTATAAAGATGTTGACTGAAGCATTGTTTGAAATAATTTTTAAAAAGAGAAAGAGCCCAATTGTCTATCATTAGGGGAAGATTTGAATAAATTATGGGCTACTCATCTGTCAGGTGTTAAGGTGCTAGCATTCAGTATTTCACCTAGAGATCTGAAAGATGCCTTTGATATAAAATGAAGTTGTTGCTTAAAATACACACATAATTAAAAAAATAAGAATTACAGAAGTATCTACGTAGGCATACCTATGGACGTATAAGCACAGAAAATATATGGCAGGGTCTCTACATAACTGACACTGTTCATTAACTCAGGGGATCAAAACGAGAGCTCTGTGGCAGAAAGAAGGTATCTAAACAATTTTTGTCCTATACACCTGCATTCTTCATTGTTTGAGTTGTCACAGTCAGTAGGCATTCCTCCTGTCGTTTAGAAAAACAGCTAGTTTTGGCAAAAAAAAAAAAAAAAGTTAAACAACCCTTCTGTTTGTCCAGGTTTGGGAAACAGTCTGTTTTTCCCAGAGTCCCCCAGTGTTCCCAAATTAATACACACAACAGCACCTTTCCCCGGCGTGGGGAGCCAAGCCAACCCAGCTGCTTACCAGCCTGGCCCTCCCCAGGGCCTGGGTGGGAAGGCACCGCGTTCATCCCGTGTGGAGGAATCAGGTTATTTCTTCTGAATGCCTGCTCCTGGTGGCAGTTAGACTGGTGTCTATCAAAATGGATTCTGCTTTCCACACCAGCCATGGGAGGTACTTTTCCAATAAAGGTACCTTGTGGCCCCATACATTTGAGGGACTGTTCCATATGCTCTCCCACCCCCAGCCACCCCCAGTTTCTTGAGAGCGACAAGCATATCAGCCTAGGCAAGGTTCTAGGAAGTTCTGCAGGATACAGAAAAGTTGACTCATCTTGTTTCCCACTTTGACCAGGACACTTTTTTCAAATGTAAACATCTTCCTTGTGGGGACATTTGCCTTCTGATAAGAAAATCTGGGCGCCTGGGTGGCTCAGTCGTTAAGTGTCTGCCTTCGGCTCGGGTCATTGTCCCGGGGTCCTGGGATCGAGCCCCGCATCGGGCTCCCTGCTCCGCGGGAAGCCTGCTTCTCCCTCTCCCACTCCCACTGCTTGTGTTCCCTCTCTCACTGCCTCTCTCTGTCAAATAAATAAATAAAGTCTTTATAAAAAAAAAAACAACTTACAAATCTGTCTCCAGGTGGAATATCTAACGGGAGGATTCTCAGGCCTGAGGCACAGATGGGAGAGTTCTGCAGGATGGTGGCTTTTCTTGTCCCAGCTGCCTCCTCTGACTTAGCTACTTCTGTCATTCTAAGTAGTTCAACTGCACTGTTAAGTCCCTTCCTGCTGAGGACTCACAGTACCTCCTGCAGCACTGAGCATACAGCTGGTGCTTAATAAATGCTTGGTGACTGATTCATTTTTACTCCTTCTAGACGATCATGGGTACTTTCCATCCTCCTTGATCCTCAACCCCTATGGGCAGAAGCAGGCTGTGGGTCTTGGAACTCTCAAGAAGGGGGGGGCCTTTGGGTTGTGTACGCAGAACCCAAAGGTGTCATAACAGCCTCGAGTCCCCGTAAGCAGGTGGGTCTATTGCTCAGATGACCAGATGGTCCCCCCAGCTCTGCCCCACCACAGGCTGAGCCAGGCCAAGGCTTACTGTGCTGTCCTGAAGGTACCGCTCCCAGATCCTGGCCGTCAGCCCGTGCCCAGCATCACAGGGCGAGTCCGGAGACACGATCATGTGATTGACCAGGGCTGACAGGTGGGTCCTCACGGTGGACAGGTGTCTGCAGTAGGCAAGCCCTGGAGAGGGAGGGAGGGAAGCCATCATCCACCATCCAACCTACCTTGCCTCGTCTCACGGATCTCAAAGCACTGCCCTGCCTGCAATCCTCGTGAACCCTCATAACCTAGAAAGTCCCATCATCCCTCTCTTCCAGATGAGGAATGGGGCTCCGAGGGGCAAAATCCCTTGCTGGCTTGACCGCTTAATAGTTGTGTGAGCCTGGGGACGTCCAATCACCTTTCTCAGCCTGGGCCAGGGTGACATTACCTCTTCTGCCAGAAGCCAAGGCATTTAATCCATGGGCAGGAGGCAGTAAGTGACCCCACAGGCTCACTGTGCCTCTGGGTGCCTCCAACCCATCCCAAGAGAGACGGAGGATGGCAGAGGTGGACGACTTGTGTTCAAAGTGCAGCCGGATAAAGAAGGCCCTGGGAGATGCACCTGGTTTGCTTTCAAAGATGGCCCTGCATTCTTAAAGGAATGCCTGCCAACCTGCTGCCCTTCAGCTGGGCACGTGGAGGGCACAGTGCCTGGTAAACGGAGATACTCAGCAAATGCTGGCCTGTGTCTGCTCCGTGCCCCCTCCCTCTGGCTCTCCCTTATCAACTCCTAGAGAGGACCCTGGGCCTTCCGGAGCCCGAGGACTGGCCCCTACCAGCAATGAGGAGGATGAGGGAGAAGAGGAAAAGGACGGGGAGGAGGGAGAGGAGGGAGAGGAGGGAGAGGAGGGAGAGGGAGAAGAGGAGGAAATGGCTAACACTTACACAAGCACATACTACATGCCAGGGAGCTGCCCAGAGCTCACATACTTAACTCACTAAATTCTCATGACAACCATATAAAACAGGTACTCCTACCTTCTCCATCTTATAGATGGGGATACTGAGGCACAGACTGCTTCTGTCTCTTGCCCAGGTCACACTGCTAGGAAGTGCAGAGTTGGTATTTGAACCCAAGCTGCATAGCGCCAGAACCCGGGCTCTCAACCACCATCAGGGATGAGCCATTGAATGCGATAACACTGTTCAAGATCCATCTCGACCCCCAACCCCATCCTCCAGGAAGCTCTTCCATTTGGGTCCCATAAATACGCATCCAGGGCCTGCTCCACGCCAGGCCCTGCATTAGGCACCGGGGATGGGTGATAACAGGCAAAAACCTTGACCTTGGGAGCCCACGCTCCCCCTGTCTCTCCAGTCGCTCGGGCACATGGCTGGCACTGCTATTCTGCAGGCCCACGCAGGATACATTAACACTTTTCTAGAATCCCTGACATATTGTCTCCCCCATCTAGGCTGGGAGGCGGGGAAAATAAAACGTGCTAAGAATCAACACAGCAGAGTGAAAAACAACAGCAGCAGCAGCAGCCTTTGGGTCAGGCAGGCCTAGGTTTGAGTCCCAGCTCTGTCCTGTATTAGCTGTGTGACCTTGGACAAGTTACTTTGCCTCCTTGTGCCTTAGTTTCCCCATGTGTTAAATGGAAATAATCAGAATACCTGTATTTAACTTTTAATTTTTAACTTCTCCTTACTCTTCTGCTTCTGCCCATAGGTGAGGGGAGCCGACTTGTACTGAGCACCCATGACATGTAACGCCAGGTGCCAGGGGCTTTATACATGCTTCTCATTTAATTCTGAGAACAAACCCTCCTAGGTGGGCACCGAGGATGCAATGTTGACTAACCACAGCCCTGCTACCGAGGAGCCCCGTCGTTGGCTGTCCTCTCTGAGAGCCCAGAGATAAAATTTATGCCCAGTCTCTGGTTGAGGAAGTTCAGGCTCCGAGAAGTCCGCGTAACTTCACTAACACTAGACACATCTGAGCGGAGGTTCCCGTGCCAGAGCCAGGCTCCTTCCCCCAATGCAGAGGCCATACGACAGGCATTCGAGAAACACGCCCGTAGACCACAATGGCAAATGAGGCCGATACGCACATCCATAGAAGGCTCTGGAAAGGATCTGGTACTTCATGTTGTCACAGAGGAGCTTCAGTGGGGCCCTGCAGGTGGAGGAAGAGAGGATACTTAGAAAAGACCATACAGAGCCCACGTTTGCTGGAGGAACTCAGCTCGTTACCTGTAGGGGGCAGATTAAAACCAGCCAGCCAAGGGGACTCTGGGGGGACTACTGTTTCTACCCATACCGCCACTTCTCCTATCAGCTTTGGGGTCACTCTCTCCCCAGCTCTCTGCGGTTTGGATGGGGCTGATCCGACCCAGTACAGGACTCAGGCTAGAGTCACAGGCACTGGGTAAGAGGTGGCCATGTGATCCAACCTGAGCCAAGGAGAATGAGCCCCAGACTCATTTTGTTGGAACTCCAGGGAAATTCACACTCTTCTCTCTGCTCGAGGTCCTAAGCCAGAGGGATGTAGGGCGGCGGCTGCTGGGATCCAGTTCTGCCCCTGCATAGGAACGGCCTGCCCGAGAATGAAAGTATCACGGTGGCAGTCAGAGGCAAGAGCTGAACAAACAGAGATTTGTGTTCTGAGCATCTGGAGCCAACGGTGCCTGAAGTCATCACACCTCTAGGCTCCTCAGTTCTGTCGAGATTTTCTTTTGTATTTGAACCAGTCTGAAGTGGGTTTCTGTCACTTGCACAAAGAGTTCGGACTTCCGAAGTGAGCCAGCTAAACCAAACTGAGCCGAACCGGGACTCAGAGTCTGGCTGACTGCGAGGTAGGTGATGCCTCAGAGCTTCTTCTTGCGTGGGAATTTGGGGGGGATGCTGTTTTGGCTGAAAGAGGAGAGGGGAGAAAGGCCCCAGCACTGTTGGGGAAATCAAGGACTGCTGATGGGAGTGTTCTGCATCCTTGCAGAGAGCAGAGTGGAGGAATATCTGCATATTTTTTTCTCAGGACATCCTGGGGACACCCAGGAAATCTCAAAAAGACAAGAAGGAGGCATGGCTAAAGTACTCCAGTTACACACATGGAGGCATTAAACATTAAAATCACCCTCATTGTGCCCTCAGGTTGGTGGGGCTCAGGCTTGCTCAGTTTACCTAAGAACAGCATAACACAGCTGTCCCACAGTGGACTTGGCCATTTGAAAGGTGGTGAGCTCCCCGTCACTACAGGTGTGTAAGCAGATGCCATGAGAGGGGATACTAGGTTAGAACAGCGTTTTTCAATGGCCCATGGACCACAGCCCAAGAATCACTTGGAATTTCTCCAATGTGCAGATTCCTGGGCCCCGCACAGACCTACTCAATCAGGACCCCTAAGGAAGTTGTCTCAGAACCAGTGTCACCTCCCCGCGGTGATTCTGATGCAGACAGACATGAGAGACTCTCTGGTTACAAGAGTGCTTCTCAAACTGAAAAGTGTGCACATGATCTTAGGATCCTGTTAAATGCAGATTCTGCTTCTGGACCACGTGCTGAAAGGCAGGCCTTAGATGACTGCAAAAATGTGATGTCAGCTCCCACCCCTTAAGCTCCTATGGCTGAAGACTGGACCACCCACTGGGCCAGAGGCCCGGCATGGAAAAAGGGATTCCATTATCCTCAGCCAGGCCACGTGGCATCAGCTGAGAAACAAGACGAGTCCTATTATTGCACTGAGTAGCCCTGAAGACACACGAGATCTATGGGCCAGGAAATAGATGATCTGGGGATCGAACTTTATCCAATAAAATAAGAAGCGTCACTTACTGAGCATTGCCAGGTGCTGGGTCCCACCTGCTGGCCATGTTAAACCAGTATCTCATTTGTCCTTACGATAGCTATACAAAGCAAGCATTTGTATTCCCATTCGGCAGAGGAGCAAACTGAGGCACGTGTGGTTGGCAGTGAGTAGTATTTCTAGTTTCTGCCTTCCAGGAGCATGATAGGCCTGTGGTGGATGGGGTCAATGAGGCGTGAGCAGAAAGAGTATGTGCTGCATTCAGGGTGGAGCATTTCATTGTCGTGCAGGCGCCCCAGAGCTGCCTTTCCCTCTTTCACTGCGACTGGGAATATTCAAGATGGTGTGGCTCCATCAGCCAGGCCCTTTAATGTGGAGCAAGCAGAGCCCCCAGCCGACCCACGATAGACACACAGAATGCACGATGAATCAACCTTTGTTGTACTGAGCCACTGAGATTTCAGGACTGTTACTGCAACATAACCTTGGTTATCCTGACTGATACATGGAAGGAAGCTCCTATAGCTAGGACTTCACAAGGCTAGGATTTAACCCAGACCTCGATGATTCCATAGCTTATGTTCCTCCTCTGAATTCAGTGCTGGGCAAGAAATGGGCATCTATAAATCTTTGGCAAATCCTTCCATACCCTCCGCCCACAGATTAAGCCCCTCATACCTCTCATGGTTGCACCCATTGGATGAGCCACCATCGGCCAAGCCACTCTGTGAACAGGATGAGCAGGAGGACTTCCGGGGGCTGGGTTGCCATAGGGGCGGTAGGTTGCTCACGGAGACATCCATCAGGTCCTGGGGGACTGTGATGGACACGAGGGATGGAGCAAGAGCCCCGGTTAAGCCTATGTGGGTCACAGAAACCTCATCCCAAAGCAAGCAGCTCGCCCCTAGGCCAGCACAGGGACAGGGAAAGACCCTGAATGTGATAGTCGGAGACAGCGACCCCAATCATTATCTGACCCAGACCTTTGAGCCCACCTGATCCAATGAAAGCCACCACCAAGATCTGGGGCCCTCAGCAGACAGGCAGAGCTGATGACAGCTGAAGAGAGAGGAAGAAGTGGGGCATGGGGGGAAAGAGAGAGAGAGAGAGACAAGAGCCAAGGAAAGAGACCCAGTCCCAGAGCAGGAGGCCGAGCCTCACCATGTTGTCATTCAAGTGTCCTCACAGGAGGCTGACAAGAAGGAAGAGGAGCCTGCTGGGGGCTTCTGGGGAAGGATGATGGTCCTGAGTCCCCAGAGATAGACTCTCTGGGAGAGAGAGTCTCTAGTGGGGAGACAGAAGGGAGCCTAACTCAACACATGAGGCAGGGCACCCAAGGGCAAGGGACTCAATGGAGTTCCTGCTGATGAGACCACCTGCACCGTCCATCATCCTGAGCCATATGGCTCTTCCACCAACGGGTCTCAAGCAGGTGGGCGACTCCCACCCAGAATCATGCGGCGGGGAGAGGGGCGCTTGTTAAAAAGCCATATGCCTGTATCCCACCCCCAACCTCCTGGAGATACAGGCCTTAAGTCTGTATAGCAAAAAACAATCCTGATAACAGCAGCACGTTCGAGAACCAAGAGGGCATGACCGATCTCCTAACACGCGTACTGGTGACTCCTGATCACGGGCTCCCAGGATACAGCACTTAGAGTTTCCCTCACTGCCTTCTCTCCCAGCTCCATGGAAACCGCCCCGTCTGCAGAGCTGCAGGACAAACACAACGGTGACTCACACATTACACAATTTCTGCCATTAACTTCCTAGACTCTTGGCAGTTCCAGACAGGTGCAAAAATTTTATTTTCTCCAGGACAGGGCTCGGTAAACATTTTCCGTCACGGGCCAGGCAGTAAACATTTTAGGGTTTGTGAACCACTTGGCCGTGATCATAAACCACTCAACTTTGCCGTCAGAATGCAAAAGAGCCATCCACAAGATGCAAACACATGAGCACGGCTATGTTCCAATAAAACTTTATTTATGGACACTGAAATCTGAGTTTCATATCATTTTTCACAGGTTGCAAATATTACTCTGCTTTGGATTTTTGTCAATCACTAGATTGACGGTAAATGGTAAAAACCGTTCTTAGGTCATGGGTAGTACTAAATGCGGTTGGCTCCGGCCCGTGGGCCCTAGGTTGCCAAGCCCTGACCTAGGAGATTGAGAAGGGTGCACATCTGCCCCACAGGCCATCCCCCCTCAAGGATGACTGGCAATCCCTGGCCTGTTCCCTCGGGCTGCAAGGTGGGGGGTAGTTGTGGACCCAGGGCCACTTGTCATCAGAGCTCAGGGGCTGACAGGGGCAGCCCTACCCACGGATAATGCAGAAAGCTCCTCCCCAAGCTGACTCACTGATGAGCTGGCCAAGAAAGACCAGTGAGCCCCTGTAAAATGTTCTAGAAAAGCATCCCCAGTTCTCCGCCAATCTCAGGGAAGCACTGATCGGTTTCAGCAAGGTGCGGCCAGCATGCCTTGGCCCCAGCCCCTCACACTCCACCGGCATCACCAGTGGACCCCTTCCTTACGGATCCCACAACACTCTAAGCTGCATCCTGCCACATGGAGGCTGGACAGCGTGAGGGCATCGTTTGTCTCCCACTTCCCTCGCCCGGGGGACCAAGACTCAAATGACAACATGGCAGAGGTGGCCAGCACCCAGCCCCAGGCGTGGGAGGAGCCCAGACGTTACTGGGGGGCTGTAGCTTCAGGCCCGGCCTGGGGAAGGTGGCGTCCCATCTGGCTCGCGCCCACTGACCGCCCCTGGCCACCACCAGCACGGACCGGCCGGCAGGAACCACCGTCCAGGTGGGGCTCTCCGAGTCGGGGGCAGTGCTGCCCAGGGAGTCAGGAGCAACTTGAGACAAAAAACAAAAAGCACCAGTGAAATGAAATGTCTGGGGTGGGCAGAACACTGAAACAGCCAAGGAACCCACTCCTCGGGGCTTTACCTCTCCTCTGCCCAGTTCTGCCCAGCTCCCATGTACTGTGTTGGCTTCGAGGAAGAAAGAATGCCTGATGCTTATAAAACGCCCTACTATGTGCTGGCTGCTGTGCAGGCATGGGATTGCTTTATCATCCTACCCCGTAGGGGATGCACCTCTTCTCCCATTCTGCAGAAGGGGAAACTGAGGCTCAGAATGACAACAGTACTTAACCACCCACAGCCCCAGCAGGTGGTATTTGGCGTTAACAGCTCTTTCTGACCAAGGTCCCCTTTCTCTTTCTGCTATCATTTACTGAGAGCAAGTACTACTATTATCCCCTTTCACAGCTTTGGAAACTGAAGCACAGATGTAATAAGCATCATGCCCAAGACCACCCAGCGAATAAACAGTGGAGCTGGGATTCCGACCCAGGGCATCAGACCCCAAGACCTTATTCATACTCTCCTGACTGATATCCCCGCAACATCATCCATGCTCTATCTAGACCAGCAGTTCTCAACTGGGGCAATTCTGGCTCCTCAAGGACGTTTGGCGATGTCTGGAGACATTTTTTTGTCATGATAACCTGAGAATTTGCTAGATGTAACTGGCATCTATCCAGTGGGTAGAGGCCAGGGATGCTGCTTACCTTCCTATAATGCACAAGACACCCCCCCCCAAACATACAATTATTCAGTCCAATATGTCAACCCTGCCCTAGACCAGCTCTGTTCAATAGGAATCCACCCTGAGCCACATGCTTAATTTAGAAGTTTCTAGTAGCCACACTAAAAGGGGGAAAAGAAACAGATGAAATCAATTTCGACAATATATTCTGTTTAACCCAGTGTATCCCTAATGTTACCATTTTAACATAGAGTCAATATAAAATCACTGGTGAGATTTTTTTGCATTCTTTTCTGTTGTTGCTCCAAAATCTTCAGAATGCAGCGTGTCTTTTACACTTAATGCACATCTCCATTCGAACTCGCTGCATTTCAAGCGCTGGGGAGCCGCACGCGCTCACGCCTACCATGCCAGATGGTACAGACAGTCCCAGCAACGCAGGAGTCTGAAAATGCCCTCCTCTGACTCTGAACCTGTCTCCATGTTTCAGAACTTGTCTCTGCCTCTGTGCACAAGGACCAGGTGGTGAAGACAGAGGCAAGAAGACACGGAGAGGGGGTTTAGAACCGTTTATGGCCACATCATCCTTCCCCACAGGGCCAAAGTCTTCTCTCTTATTACTTAAAGCAGGCATCTGCAAACTTCGTCTATGAAGGGCCAGATAGTAAATATTTTCGGCTTTGTGGGCCACACAGTCTCTGTCACAACAATCCCACTCCGTTGCTATGGTGTGAAAGCAGCCACACACAATATGGATAGGAATGGGCGGGGCTGTACTCCAATAAAACTTTATTTACAAAAATAGGCAGTGGGCCAAATCTGGACCACAGGAAGGAGTTTGCCCATTTCTGATTTAGACACTTCTTCAGAAAGGACTTCCTTGTTCTCAAAGATGAAAACCATACATGATTGTGTTAAGCTCTGTGGGGCTCAGGCCCCCCAAAAAAATCAACCAAGGATGGATGGGGCACCCCTGCCATGTGGGCTGAATCTGAGCTTGGGGATGAAGCGGGTGAAACCACAATATCCCCACATCCGGGTCAAAGCAATCCGCCAGGAGTGGTTGTGAGAGGCAGTCTCTGGAGCCAGGGCACCCGGGTTTAAATTCCAACCACACTGCGGATGAGCTGTGCCACTCTGGGCCAGTTTCTTAACCTTTCTGTGCCTCGATCTCCTCTTCTGAAAAACGGGGGTTGGTGAGGACACTGGCACCTCCCTGGGAGGGCGGTGGTGAGGATTAAATTAGTTACAACTTTGCAATGTCCACAATAGCCAAACTGTGGAAAGAGCCAAGATGTCCATCGACAGATGACTGGATAAAGAAGATGTGGTATATATATACAATGGAATATTATGCAGCCATCAAAAGGAATGAGATCTTGCCATTTGCAACGACGTGGATGGAACTAGAGGGTATTATGTTGAGTGAAATAAGTCAAACAGAGAAAGACATGTATCATATGATCTCATTGATATGAGGATTTCTTAATTGCAGGAAACAAACTGAGTGTTGTTGGAGTGGGGGGTGGGGTGGGAGGGATGGGGTGACTGGGTGATAGACACTGGGGAGGGTACGTGCTCTGTTAAGCGCTGTGAATTGTGCAGGACTGTTGAGTCTCAGATCTGTACCTCTGAGACAAATAATGCAAGATATGTTAAGAAAAAAAAAGAAGAAGAAGAAGGTAGCGGGAGGGGAGGAATGAAGCGGGGGAAATCGGAGGGGTGGACGAACCATGAGAGAAGATGGACTCTGAAAAACAAACTGAGGGTTCTAGAGGGGAGGGGGGTGGGAGGATGGGTTGGCCTGGTGGTGGGTATTGAGGAGGGCACGTTCTGCATGGAGCACTGGGTGTTGTGCACGAACAATGAATCATGGAACACTTCATCTAGAACTAATGATGTAATGTATGGGGATTAACATAAGAATAAAAAAAAAATAAAAATTAGTTACAACTTTGGAGAGACAAAGGCGGGCTTGGCACACAGTAGCACTTCACACGTGGTACCTATTACTCACTGAGCATCCGTCAAGCATTTCACATTAGGTGACTGACACATCATCACACTGACTCCTCAGAATAGGATCCTGGCTGGGGAGGTGCTGTTCTCCCCATTCTACAGACAAGGAAATGAGGTCTGGAGAGGGCAAGTCACTTGGCCACACTGCAGGGGCAGAGGTGAACGCAGGGATGTGCGCTTTTCTCAACCGAGGGCGATTTTGCTCCCAGACGGCACCTGGCAGCGCCTGGAGACATTTCTGGTTGTCACCACTTGGTGGCGAGGGTGGGGGCAGATCTGCTACTTGGCGGTTAGCTGGGGGAGACCCGGGATGCTGCCTGACATTCTACAAGCCGCCAAGCCTGCCCCGCACCCCTGATCCAATTCAGTGGAGGATGAGAGCCGGAGCATGAACTGGCCTGGCACGGTTAGCCCACCCTTGCCAGGAGGACATCTGCTTTCAAGAGAGTCTCTTGGGGCCCGGCTGTGGTCACTAAAGCAAGGGGAGGCTCAGAGCCGTTATCCATCAAATGGAACAACAGGGCCGCCAGAGGTTAAATAAAATGGGGTGGACAGAAGGAACCTGCAGCTTAATATTGCATTGTTGAACAGACATCCATACGGTGCCTAATAAATGCCAGGCCTCTTTTGGAGAACTTTGCAAACATTAGCTCATTTAACCCTCACGATGACCCCGTGGTAATGACAACCGTGACAGCAACAGCCTGAGTTAACCAAGCATCTACACCAGGGCAGCTGCGGTGCAAAGTGCTGGACGTACACGTAGCGTCCCGTGTGCCGCCTCCAGTGCTTTGCTTCCCCTCCGCAGTTTTCACGGTCATTTACTGAGGGCCTACTGTGTGCGGGACTTTATGCTACAGACTTGACGTTGGTCAGCTCTTTATCTCATCAAATCCTGACAATATAGCTAAGTAAAAGAACAACAGTGTGATAGCGGCTAAAATGTACGTGTTCTGTGCCAAGAGCCTTATCTCATTTAACCCCCACAAGGGCCCTATGACGCAGGTGCTGTGAACATCCCCATTTTGCAGATGGGGAAACCAAGACACAGAGGGTGAAGTGACCTGCCCCTCTGGACCAGGATTCCAGAGGCCACGGCCAGTACCCCAGGCCACCTCCTGGTCAGGTGCATCTTTATTAAGCCAAGTAGCACGTGGTTCTCATTTGGGGTGAACCGAGACACTAACTTCCTGGTTTTAGGTCCTCCCCCTGCCCCCCCCATTGGCCCCAGAGTCCAGACCACTTGTCTTCTAATCCCAGACACCTGGAATCATTTTCATAAGCAGCTAACCGGTGGATCCAGGGGGCCCAGAGATGGGGCAGCTTACCAAATTCAGACTGCATGCCGGGGTAGATGATCCTGAACACGTAATCTGTGGCCTCGTCGTCTTCCTTATCTGAAGACGTGGACTCGGCGGAACCCTGAGGGCTTCGCTTGCGCAGTTTGGGAAATACTTTGCCCTGAAAGAACGTGTCCCATTGCATAGTCCTTGGGATACACCTGTCCCCACAGTCTGCACAGCCTGAGGGTTTCAGTGGGGTATGTATGTGCTCACAAAGCCATGTAAGGATCCACACTTCCCAGGATGACCACTCCCCAGGCGCCTGGGTGGCTCAGTCGGTTAAGCATCTGCCTCTTGATTTCGGCTCAGGTCATGATCTCAGTGTTGGGAGATTGAGCCCCGAGTTTCGGGCTCCACGCTAGGCTGGGGGGGATTCTCCCTCTCACCTGCCCCTTCCCCACCCCACTTGTGCACGTGCACACGCTCCTCTCTCTCTCTTAAAAAAAAATGTACACTCCCCATGGCTGACCCCCACTCCAGCCTCCCTGGGTCCCCTGCGATCACTCACCTTTCCCCGCTGAGACCAGAGTGGAGGGTCCAGCTGCCCATGAGGGAGCAGCCCATTTTCCAGGCACGAGAGGAACTGCAGGAGGTGCCCTCCCTTGGGGAAGCGGAAGGGCGGCCTCTGGATCCCGTCCTGGCTGACCAGCACCACTGTCCCGCCGCTGTCCACTGCCACCATGACCCAGCCAGAGAAGACCCAGCAGGAAGTCACTATGAGGCATGGGGATGGGGCCCTCCCGGCACACACATCCCCCCAGGCATGCCAAGCCAGACCCATGGACCTGCTCCAAGACTCTGGGAAAGGCCTGGGCAGAAGGTCAGGGGCAGTTTTTACCTCCCCTGAGCCTATTAAATCCCACCTGCCATGGTCGCTGACCGGGCAGTACAGGACTTGGTCCGGAAGAGTATGGTTGGCCCCCGTGAAGTCACCCACCAAAGGGAAATGATGTCCCTAAACATCCGATGTCCCTCAAGCACGCTCTACGAATCAACCTGACCTATTTTTATATGGAGGCTTTCAGACCTATCGCTACTCAGGGCAGTATCTGACTTGCTGGCACGTATTGAGCACTTACTGTATGTAAGCACAGCACATTAAAGGCAGTGTTTTATTGGAATACTCAAAATAGACCTATGAGGTTTATCTATTATTGTCTATTTTACAAATGATGGAACCAAGGCTCAGAGAGGCTATGTAATTTTCCCAGGGCTGCACAGTAGGGCCTGGATCTGAACCCAGGTCTGTCTCACTAAATAAGCTTAATGTTTTGTGCCTTGGTGGGGCATGGATCCCTTTCTACAGCAGGATGGCCTTCTGCTTGTTCTAAATGTACCTTCTCTGAGCTTTAAGGGAGAACTCCATTCATTAATCCCAGATCTTCAGAGCATAGGCTTTGGAATGACAAAGACCTGATTTCAAGTCCAAACTCAGGAGCTTCCAGGCTGTGTGACTTCGTGCCAAGCTGTTTAGAGCCCTGCTTGGCACATCATAGGAGCTCAATACATGTCAGCAGCTAACACCATGGGTTTGATGCTCTTATCATACGTCATAGGATGTTCACAACAACGCCAGGAGTAGGTGCTGTTGTGATTCCATTTTACAGATGGGGAAACCGAGGCTCAGCGAGAAGTCACTTATTTGAGGCTGCACAGGTAATAAGGAGGTGGGGCCAGGCAGGGGAGCCAGGAGGAACACCCCAGCCCCGTGCTCCCCCCACGGTCCCCACCTTGCTGGTGGCAGTGCAGGTACACAATCTCCTCTAGACGGATGGTCATGGCATAGTCCCAGTAGACACTAGAAGGGGAGGGATGGTTAGGTCCGCAGGATGCTTGCTCACCTCATCGTGGCAAAGGGCCCAGGAGACCAGAAGACCACACCCATGGGCTCCTGCACCCTCCTCACTAGGACCCATCTGTCCCTAACATCTGTATTCCAGGCTTCCCAGAATCTATCTCCCCTTCTTCTGGCCCCAGCACCCCAATTTTCTAAGGAACTCTCCTCCTTTCCCCCCAGTCCATGTGGCTGAGGCTGAGTCCACCCACCCTCTATGCCAGGATTCCAGGAATGGCCATCTGACTCCGGCATATTCCACTGTTCCAGCCACAGTGACTGGTTCAGGGATGGCCCCGTGACCCAAGCAGAACCAATGAGGCTCAACTGTTGGAGTCATGTTAGAATAAACTGGGGAAAGGACGCTCCTTTCTGCTAGGAGAGTAGAGGCAAAGATGACAGAAGTCTGGAAATGGGGGGGGGGCATGGCAAGAAAAAGGCTGCCTGGCAATGGCGTCCACAGGAAAGCAGAACCAAGAGATGGGAAGAGTTCAGGTCCTTATTGTTTGTGTCCCTGGATCCAGCCATGCCTGAAGCCACAACCCCAGAACTTTTCAGTTCGTGGGAGCTAATGCTTAAGTCAACCTGAGTTTGGTTCCCTGTCACTGGTATCTAAGAGTCTTGACTCAGACCCCAATGCCAGGCCACCGTGCATCCATATGGTTAGAATAGCCATTAACAGCTTTGATCCTACAGTTCCCAGCAGTGTGACTTGAGGGCTTCTATTGAGTCTTGAGTTTCCTTCTCTGTAAAATGGGGGTGATAATAATTACCCACTGCAGAGTGCTTCTGTGATGATTAAGTGGAATCATGTATTTGAAGAGCTCAACACAGTGCTAATACGTTAAAAAAGAACTGGGTTAATGATCTCTGTGCTGACATACTTAAGGTTTTCCCTTTCGAGCTCAAAGCCTACAGCTGTCCTGCAACAGATCACTTTCCCCCTTAGATGACCATGGAGGTGGGGCTCACAGGAACCGGGGTTTTGTGTGGTCAGGGGAATGCACTGAGCAGGTGTCCTTCAGATCTTGCTGTGGGGGGGCAGAGCTGACCAACAGCTTCAGAAGCTGCCCCCTAGCAGGTGGAGTTGAGCTAGACTCCTTCTGGTTTTTCATTTAACTGTCAACTAAAACCTGGCCCCATGGCATCAGCCCACGGAGTGATGAGGTGCCCGTGTACCAACACGTTTGCACCAAGACCACACTTCCCTTGGGCTGCTCTCAGCCAGGACTGAGCACATGGGGGTGCTAGTGTGGGCCTACTCCTGCAGGATAGGGGTACTCCAGAATAAGGGTTAACTTTAGCCCAGGGACTCCCAATGGATCTGGCTGAACATTCTAAGAACTGCAGCATCTGAGACTCTTCCTCGCCTTCCTTCTTCCCCCTCCCTGTTCACAGGGATCAGACCAGCTTCATGGTCTGAATGTCCTGCCCGCCTCCTCTGCTCTTCCCTTTCATCCTGCACAGATGTCTCTCACATTACAGCTCTCTCGCATGTCTAACTCTGTCCGCACCTGCATCTTGGGAGGACCCGAACCAACACAGGCTTCAAGGTCAGACTTCAAATCCCACTTCCACCAACTGTACAGAATCAGTCCCTTCTCCTCTCTGGGCCTCAGTTTTCCTAGCTGCAACACGAGGAAGTTGGAAGAGAAGCTCTCTAAGGGACCTTCCTGCACTGGTCTGCACCAGAGTCAGCCTTGCCAGGGCCCATGGAGTGAACGTCCTCGGAGGGCAGCCAAGTACACGAGGGTTTTCAGAGTAGCAGCCTCTATGGAGCCCCTTGCATGCGAGTCTCAGCCAGGAGGCCCTTCCCCAGACTCCCACATCATGCCCATCACCTAGGGTGACAATGGTCTGTTTTCTCCTGTCTCCCCGAGAGGTGCTGAACTGGACAGCGACTGGGTTTTGCTTACATCTGCAAGATGTTCAGAGAATATTCACAGTTAATGGTGAATGCCCTACGGCGCCCAATAAACAAAGCAACTCTCCAACTACCACCAGACACCAGCAAGGAGGAGCTGTGGCCCCAGTTCCTTTGGAGCTGTGTAACTTGACACCGACAGCCTCCGGGTTCCAGCCTCCCGCCTAAAGGCTTTACCTGCATTTTGCACAGACTCTTTCCTGTATGCCTATGCGGAGGTTCCATTACCACATTCCCATTTTACATCGGATAAACAAACTGAGGCTCGGGAAGGTGAAGCTCACTGTCCAAGATCACTCAGCTGGGAAGGAGCAAGAGCTGAGCTTCTGTTTTCATTTTACATGTTTTAACAGCTTCCTAGAGTAGAACTGCTGGGTCACGTGGTATTTAGCACAGTGCCTAGCACATTGCAGGTGCTCCGTTAATATCTGGTGAACGAATCCAGGTCCCCTGACTTCCCTGTTTTGTTTCACAGAGATTATCTGAGCACTGACTTCGTGCCAGGACGGGTGGCAGGTGCTGGACAGGACATGAGCGCGAAAGATTCCTTGCCTTCACGGAAATGAGGTCTAGAACGCAACAGCGGGTATATAGGTGGGCACAGATGTATTACGTGAGCACGATTTTATAAATGCTACGAAGGAGATTCAGGGCTCCGTGTGATCCAAATTCAGCTGGGAAGTCAGGGAAGGGCCAGGGTTTAAGATGAATAGGGCTGAAATAACCGTCCCGGGCAAAGGGCATCTCCTCAGGCCCGCACTGTTCCTCGGGGAGGGTTCCTTGATCAGAAACTCTGGAGTCTGGCAGGAGCTGAGTTATGTGGCCCAGCCTAAAACGGACTGTACCTCCCATTGACCGTCTCTGCAGACAGATGGCCACCTCTGCACAGGAAGTGCTCAGCTTAGAGAACAGCAATAATCATATCAAGGCCTGGGGTTCCTCACACTGAAGCCTGACATGAAACAGAACACGGTAATGGTGTTCTGCTTCCGTCCCGTGAAAAGAGCCTTTATTTTATATCTAGCTGCCAGGACTCCTCAAGCTGAAATAATCAGGCTGGCCACACTTGGCACAGTGCCTTCCCTCTGCTTGTGTTCCTTCTAGGGCCCTTCCCTAATTGTGCTGGAAGAGGGGGTTGCAGCAGGGAATCGCTGGTTTCTGAGTTTCTTCGGAGTATGACCCCAGAGCCTTTGCTGAGCCTTACAGATTGCAGGGTATCACAGGGAGACGCAGCCCCGGACCAGATGCCCACCAACCAACGTCTCCCGCTTCCCTTCTTGACTGAGTGACGAGAAGGGAGGCTGCGGATGGGGGAATATTTGCCATTGGCAGGCTTCCCAGACCTTTGTTAAGATTTCTCCCCCTGGGTGCGTTGACCAGGGTTTGCCTAACTCCCATGCCCTAAGATTCTTCTAGCTGGTTTCTAGATCCTCCCAATGAGCTACCCAAGCAGCTGCAACAACCAGACCGAGCAGTGGGCCAGGGCACGAAGGACAGAGCACAAACTTCCCCGTGTCAAGGGTAGGAGAGGGACCTGGCACCCTACCTCTTCTCATAGTCCAGGTCCCCCATCGACCCGTTCATCAGCTGGTTAGGCGTCCATTTCAAGGTCATGACGTCAGCTGTCTGGTGCAGGGACAGGTACCCTGGCACAGCTTCCATATCATCCCTCTGCAGAGAGAGGGCGCAGGCTTGGTCAAAGTGCCAGAGTCACAGGGATCACGGACCCCAGCCCATCTGACTTGGGAGGCATAATCAGAACCAAGAGGTTGGGGTCACGCCCTCCAAGGCCATGGCCATTTGGAAGATCCTGCCTTCCAGGTTGCCATGCTAAGCAAAGCAGTTTGTAACCAACCCCCAGGATGGGTTCTGTAGATCCAGCTATGAAAGCTGTCTGCCCGCCTCCCCTCACTTTCATACTTCCACCTCCCCACCTCAACCAAGGTCCAGGGGCCCTGCTGCAAGGGTGGGGTTGGTGGCTCTTTAGAATCAGGAAGGGGCTCTACCCCTCTTCAACACCACCCTCTCCTTCACAGAAGGCATTTATCTGGCATCATTTTGGCCAGTCTTAAGGGAGAAAAAGAGGGCAGCTGAGCTCTATGTCCCATCCACAGAAATTTTCCAGAATCCCCCTCCCCAAATACCCAGACCATACTCCCTGACCTGACCCTCTGTCTTCCCAACTAGCCTGCAGAGCTTCTCACCTGCTCACTCTGCTTTATCCCAAGTGGGGTGTAAGGGAGGGCAGTCAAGCCTCACACACAGAGGAGGCAACTTCTCCACCAAATTCACCGAACAACATGTGGAGATGGACAGCTGACATTTACTGGGCACCTAGTGCATGCACCAAGCATGGCTCGGCATCATGCACAAGGTCCCCACTTAACCACACATGTCCACAGCCCCATGATGGAGCACTATTTCATGAATGGCTTTCACATTTTAATGGACCTGAAATGGGGATGCGTCTGCTAATGAGTGGCATCTCACGATCATGACATAGTGGTCACTGCCTGATCTCATGCAAACTCGGGCCTAGCTGTTCAGATGCTGTTACTTCAATTCAGTTTTTTGGGGTTTTTTTAAGACTTTATTTATTTATTTGACAGAGAGAGAGAGCGCGTGCACGCGCACAAGCAGGGCCAACTGCAGGCTCCCCGCTGAGCAAGGAGCCCGACTCGGGGCTCGATCCCAGGACCTGGGTTCATGACCTGAGCCAAAGGCAGATGCCCAACCGACAGAGCCAGCCAGGTGCCCCCTCCATTCAGTTTCGAGCTTGGTTGTTACTTCGCGTGTGGAGTTACAGGTGCTATTTTAAATGTCTTCAGAAAAGATCAGACAGATTCATGTTTGAATCAGAAGGTGACTGTGCAGGCAGAAAGGCTGGTAACAGAGCAGAAGGGCAATGATGGGATATTGGCAAAGCAGAGACACCATTCACTGCTGCACAGACACCCACAATTCCAGATGGTCTCACGAAGCAACAACCAAGTGCACACGTTTGCACGAAATACTGCACCTCCAACGCTCTTGATCAGAGGTCAGCAAACTTCCTACAAAGGGTCCGAGAGGAAACAATTCTGGCTCTCTGAGCCGTACAGGCTCCGTTGCAAGCAGTCCACTCTCCATTACAGCCTGAAAGCAGCCATACACGATACGTAATGGGCAGGGCTGTGTTACAATAAAGCTTTATTTACAAAAACAGGCAGAGCACTGCATTTGGCCCGTAGGCTATACAGTTTGTTGACCCCTTCTTTTGAAGGCACAGAAGACAATATTTGGTGGAAAAATATAAGCAGTGATGTCTCTAAGTCAAAAGTGACATGAAGATTCAACCCTAAAATGTGAAGAAGTTTTAAGACTATCTTAACTAATGAATGTCAATTACATGTTCCCTTGGGGCGCCTGGGTGGCTCAGTCGGTGAAACATCTGCCTTCCGCTCAGGTCATGAGCCCAGGGTCCTAAGATCGAGTCCCACGTGAGGGTTCCCTGCTCAGCGGGGAGCCTGCTTCTCCCTCTCCCTCTGCCTGCCACTCCCCCTGTTTGTGCTGCCTCTCTCTGTCACTATTTCTGTCTCTCTCTCTGTGTCAAATAAATAAATAAAATCTTTTTAAATAATGATATGTTCCCTTGTGTGTAGTTACAAGTATAATACATGATTAAAAAAAAAAAGTATATCCAAATAAAGTCTCAAAGAGCTCTTTCAAAAAGTGTAAAACAGAATCGTGGATCACCACATCAAAAACTAATGATGTATCATATGGTGACTAATGTAACAATAAAATAAAATTTTAAAAAAAGTGTAAAATAAAATTTCCAAGTAGTGAGAAAACATTTTATATAACCTAATAGCATTTTTTACTTCCTGATGGTTATGTTTAAAAATGGGACGTCTTAAATTCGCAGCTTCTTAGATCTGAGGAGATAGGATCTTATACCCACTGTGATGGGAATACTAAGGCTCAGAGGGAGAAGTGACTTGCTCAGGGTCACCCAGTGATTGCAACTGTGACCATAGAGCTGGAGTGGTCAGCAGCTCTCCCTCTGCTTCCTCCTAACCAAGCCCAAATACCACACTGATCCAGGTGGTCTCGGGAAGGGAATAGCAAAGGGGATATCTTTTGCTTGAGGGCAGGGGCTTCATGTGCCTTGCTCACCACCCATCTCTGGGGCCTGGACCAGTCCTGGGGCATAGAAGGTAACTGATAAATGACACAGACTCTCACAGCGGGCAGCCTGAATTCAAAGCATAACTTTGCCCCTTCCTCCCCACTGTGCACACCTCAGTGTTATCACCTTTGATAAGACTCCTTGCCTCAAATGGTTGTTGTGAGCTTTAAATGAGTTAGTACAGTTAAAAGCACTTAGCATGGTGTCTGACACAAAGGAAGTGCTCCATAAATATTAACCATGAAGATGTTTATCTTGATATCCTAAGCATCTAGTTCATAGAAGGTTCAGTATAAATATCTGCTGAATGAGTGAGTGATAACAAGAGAGAAAGGATGGATAGACAGCTGGGTGGACAGGTGAGTGGAGAGATGGACTGGAAGATAAATGGACAGATAGTTGGATAGACAGGTGGATGAATGGGTAGATGCATGTAAAGATGGGTGGGTGGATGGATGGATAGACATGTAAAGATGGGTAGAGGGATGGAGGAATGAATGGATAGGTAGATGGGTGGAAGGAAGTAAAGATGGGTAGATGGATGGATAGATGACTGAATGGATGGATATAAAGACAGACGGATGAACAGATAGATGTAAAGATGGGTTGATGGATGGATATAAAGATAGGTGGATAGATATGTGGATGGATGGATGGATGGGTAGATAGAAGGAAATGTCATATGGATGAATGGATGAGAGATGGAGTACTAGTAGATGAATGAAGAGACAGGTATGTGGATAGGTGGATGGATGAATGCATGGATGAATGACTGAATGGACAGATGTAAAAGGGGGTGGATGGATGAATAGTTGGATGGATGGATGCATGGATGGATGGATAGAAGGAAATGTTGTTACATGGATAAATGGATGAGAGATGGACTGCTAGTAGATGAAAGTGATGTAGATGTAGATGTAGATGGACTACTAGCAGATGAAATAAAGGCTTCAAGAGACAGGTATGTGGGTAGGTGGATGGATGAATGCATGGATGAATGACTGAATGGATAGATGTAAAGAGGGGTGGATGGTTGAATAGTTGGATGGATGGATAGATGAATGGATGGATATAAAGATGGATGGATAGACAGATGTAAAGATGGGTAGATGAATGGATGGATGGGTGAATGACTGAATGGATGGATATAAAGATGGATAGATGGATGAATAGTTGGATGGATGGATGGATGGATAGATAGAAGGAAATGTTGTCACATGGATGAATGGGAATGAAGAGACAGGTATGTGGGTGGGTGGATGGATGGATGGATGAGCAACCTGGAGCCAGAGGGAACTCCTCCTCTATAACCTGAAGACAGACCCCCCCCCACCCCGCCCGCCACCCGTGGAAGATCTGGGCCCAAGATCTCTCTCACCGGCTGAACCAGAACATTGTTCTTGCCGTAGAGCAGCGTGGCCCGGGAGTTCTGATGCAGGGACTCTACGTAGTCACGGGCAGAGAGGGACGGTCGGTCGTCCATGCTGCCGCTCGAATGCCTCTTCTGGATCTGGCCGTGAGAGAGGGGGTGGAGGGTGAGACTTGGGGTGACCCTCAGGGCCCCACTCCATTCCCCACCTCCACACCAAGTCTGGAACCCAGCCCAGCTCCTGCCCAGGGCCCCGCAGCCCACCCTTACTCACACAGAGGGCCGGACGCTTGGTGGGGGAGTCCTGGCGCAGGTGTGAGCTGTGGATTCGGTGCCTCTGCACCAGCTCATCCGCCGAGGGGTCGGTCCAGAAGTGGTCCGCAGTCTTCATCTTGGTGTACTCCAGGGCACAGGGCCCCACTGCGGGGCATACGGGGGCCGGGAATCCAGAGCCCCGGGCGGTCCACCCTCCCATCTACCCCCTCCCCCGCCCCCGCCGGTGGGCCACCCATTTCACCGTTTCTCCCCTCCAGCCGGTGAGTACGCCCCACAGGCCTCCTAAGGAGAGGCCAGCACCACACCCGGGGGAGTCAGAGCCGGGGAGCAGGTACTGTTTGATGGAGGAGGCTGGAGGGAGATGATGCACCAGTGAGCAGAGCCCAGGGACCCAGAGGAAGCTCAGAGCACTGGACCACTTACCCAACAAAGATGCAAGGATGGGGCCGTCCACCGGGTCCATCAGGAGGGCTTCCTTCTCATAGTACTTGCTAGCGAGAGAAAAGCACAGGCAGGTTTGGATGGCGACCGGCAGAGGGCGCACAATGGCCTCTGACCTGGTGGTTAAGAGCAGACTATGTTCCGTCTCCCTCTTGTCACCTCTCTGAGCCTCAGATGCCCCATCTATAAGATGGGTGTAATAAAAATAGATCTCCTAGGGCTGTTGGAAGGCTTTCTGAGAGAGACAACAGATGTGAGGCACTTAGCACTGTGCTTGGCCCGTAACTGCTTAATACATGGCTGTATGATACAGCCTGAATGAGAGTAACAGGAATAATGATTACAAAGTGGCTCCTGGCTGGTTCTATCGACTTCGACCACATCTTCCATTTCAGATGGCAAATCGCTTAGGGGCTCGGATGTTGTCTGCCCTTCTAATGTTACTGAGGCAACAAGATGCTTTTTAGCTGTGGTGTGCCCCGAAAAGCTGTCTTAATAGGACTTCCTGCCCAGACAACTAGTGTGGATGCTGCTGGCCTGATGTGCTCAAGAGTGCCCCCTGGCTCCTGGGTCTTCAAAATAACTTGTGATGCGGGCAATACAATGTTTGTGCTGTTTTTTTGTTTGTTTGTTTCTTTGTTTGAGTTGTGTAGTGGTTTCTAATTCTTTGCCAACTCATACAATCTAGAAACAGAGTTCTAGAGGTGGAAAAGACCTTGTTCTACCCTCCTGAGGGGTCTCAGGCTCAGAGAGGGGAAGTGACTTGTTGGAGGCCACACAGCAGGTGAATGTAGGTTACATCCAGCCAGCCTGGCTCTTCCCATCCTACAGCAGGGGGTGAAGAACACAGGATCGGGAGCGAGACAGACTGAGTGGGCGCCAGGCTCGGCCATTCCCACCCTCACTGTGTGTCCCTGGGCAGGTGACTACCTTCTCTGAGCTTCAGTGTCCTCAGCTGTAAAATGGGAAGAATGACAAAACTCACCTGCCCAGGCTGCTGGGAGGATTAAATGTTGACCTGCTTGTACAGCAATAGCACAGACTTTGCCACCAGGAAGTTCTTGTGAAATGGTGGCAACATCACTGTAACTTTACCCCAGAGGAATCTTCGATCCACCAGAATACTGGCTGCAGCAGAACTGACAGCCCTGTACATGCTCAGCAGCAAGTTTATACGTTTTGGCGTCAGATCTGAAGATAAGGCTTCAAGACACTTTCCACTCTGCCACGCCGTTTCCATTCCAAAATTCAGCCCAGTTACCTGATCATAAGCCTTGGGAATACTGCCTTTAAAAACAGCAGGTAGGATTGGGAACAAGATGTGACCATCAACGGTGGTCCAAGGGAGCTCCTTTGGGGTGATAGGTTTTGCTGGACCAGTTCCGTGTTCTGACTGTGGTGTTGGTTATATACAAAACTATACGTGTGTTAAAATTCCACAGAACTATACAGAAAAAAAAAAATGAGTGTATGTAGAAACTAGCGAAATCCAAAAAAATTTTGTTGTTCAGTTAACAGTATTTTACCAATGGCAATCTCCTGTTTTGATCCTTGTACTGTGGTTATGGAGGATGTTATTACCAAGGGTAGAGGAGACTCTCTGTACTAATGTTACAACTTCTATGTGAATCTAAAAAAATAAGTGTGATGAAGAAAGAGGTTGGCATTACTGCTGAAATAAATCGCTAATTCCTTTGACTGACTTATTCAGCAGAAAACACAAGGTCATATGCCAAAGGCAGTAACTACAGACGCCCTGAACCCATGCTAGGGCAGAGACGTGTCACAATTTACTAGAAGATGAAGAGATTAATTGGACTCCAGGGCCTGGATTTCTTCCAGTTCCTCTCCTGCCTCCCGGCCTTTGCACCTGCTGTTCCCTCTGCTGGGAACACTCTTCCTCACACCCCTTTTCCTGGTAATGCCTACATGTCCTTCAAATGGAAGTTTAATGCTATGTCTTCCAGGACACTTTCCCTGACCACCCAGAGGAGATTAAACACCACCCACCTGGCTTGGAATATTCATCATATCTTATCCCAATTACTAGTTACCTGTTTTCCCTGCTACAATACGAGGTTCATGAGAAGAAGCGCTTTGCTCTATGCTTTCATACATATTTTCCTAGCAAACAGGCAGAGAATAAAAGATAATCATAATACCCATTGCATGTGAAGATGCGGTTAAACAGGCACTTTCATACACCAAGAGATGAGGAGATTCTCAGATATTTCCCTCATATTCTCCCTCTCTCCTTCTCTCTCTGGTTGGAAAGGAGTACTGGCCATGAAGAGTCTCTTCATTCTTCACTGGCTCCCCCATGCTCTTAGCATAACATCCAAGCTTTGAACATGACAGTTGAGACCAACGTATCCCCAACATCTAGGTTAGTGGCTGGCACATGGTAGGCGCTCATTAAATATTTACTGGATGAATGAATGAATGTACGGGTGCTTGTCAAGAGGGCTCATACTATAAAACCTTTACACCAGGTTGATCTGAGCTAGAAAAGAAAATGGAAAAAGGTATCATTATTTCTAAAACGCTGTGTACTCACTAACTCCCCTTCTCACTTCTTCTTCAGAATGGCAGCAATCCCTGTCCCATTTACCAAATGAGAGCAGAGACAGAGGAGCTAAATGACTCCTCTAGGGCCATAGTTAGCAAGAAGACCGTAGGCTTAACTCATGGAAGAAGAAAGATGCCTAAGATTGTAAGATCCTACACTCCACTCCAAATCTGAAGATCCTGCATTGACAGTAAGCACCTGAATTGTCCCAAGGTTCTAAACTAGGCTAATTCGGAGGCAAACATCCAGACTGCCTTTACTTACTCTCTTTCAAATCAAGTGCACGTCAAGGGGGAGAAAAGAAAGCTGCTTTCCGCAATAGGTTGCAATTCCCAAGAGGGCCAGCAGGTGGCGGCAGAGCACACACAGGCGTCTGGTCTTTCCGGCTCACCTGCTGTTTTCCACCAGGTAATGCACGATTTTGTCCAGCACCTTCTCAAACAAGGCAGTGCGAATCCACAGGTGCTTGATGGCGAGTGGGGACAGGTTGGGCAGCTTCGGCAGCTTCCGCACATTCTCCTGGAGGCCCTGGATCTGGTTTCGCCTGCCAGGCCAGTAAAGAAGGAGGATGAATATTCACAAAAGAGGAAATCCAACAGGACCAATATGCAAACGGCAAAATGTTCAACCTCTCTAGGAAATGAAGGAATGGCAACTAAAACAACAAGAGCCCTTATTGCTCCTGGCAAGTAGGTAAAGAGTTGAAAAAATCATAATACCCAGCGAGCGTGAAGATGCTGTGAAACAGACACTTTCATAAACTGCTGATGGGCAAGCCAGATGCTCACAGTGACATTTCTCTTCTCTTCCCCTCTCTTTCTCGCCCCCCTCTATCTGTCATGGATGAGCAACTGCATCAATGAATGAATGGTTCTCCCTTACCACCTGGCATGGGTATCTCTAATTCCTCCATTAGAAAATCACTCCCAATATTATGGAAGGCCCATGGAAACCCATTCCTTCAAGAAGTTAATCAGCAAACACCTGGGAATTTAACAGGTGGATTGGAAGGCACCTGAAGACCATGTGGCCGAGGAGTCAGATTCCAAATGGGACTTGGCAATGCCAAAGCCACAGGATGGCCCGTCATGCAGTTCTGGCCAGGGGCTCTGGGCTGGCATGGCCTGAAAGGCAAGGCAAGGGCCATTTCCCATCCAGTGAAGTGAAGGGATCACCCACGGCAGAGACGGCAAACACGGCACGCATGCCTCTCTCTCTTGCCCAGAACAGACATGGCTAATCAATCCACACATTCTTTCCCACAAAATCTAACAGCAGCTCCAGAATCTTTTACAACAAGGTCCTTTGGGGCAGCGTCTAGCACAAACTGGAGCTGAAACCTATCTGTCATCCCGGACCAGGCCCCAGATGGAGGATTTGGCTGTACAGTTGGGACTCTGGGGGTGACTCTGGTGGAAGGTGCTCATGTACACACACTCAGGCCATGAGCCTCCCCCCAGTAAACACAATCAGCCCTTAAGACACGTGAGTGAAGTCACTGCTCCCCTTCAATGGTTGCCTCAATGTCACACCTGATCCATGCAGACAGTGACCATATTGGTTTCATTAAACTTTTGTCTTCCTGCATTCAGAATGGGGTCTGGCTCCCACGGGGCGCTTATTCTTTCAACAATCATTTCTTAAGCTTTTACCAGCTGCTGGGCACTGTCCAGGTACTGGGGACATAATGGGGAGTAACAGATTTCAGTTGTCTGTTCTCATGGAGTTCAGAGTCAAGTGGGGGAGATAGACAAGAATCAAGTAAACAAATGAATGGGTAAATACAGGTGGTGATAACCAGAAAGAAGTAAATAGAGGGATGATCTAAAAGAGAAATGGGGTGAGGGTTGGAATTTATCCCTACCTGAGGGAAGGCCTGAATGATGACAAGGAACTAGCCACGGAAGATGAGGTATGTGAACCGGGTGGTGGGTACAGCATGTGCAAAGGCCCTGGGGTAGGAAAGAGTCTGGCGGGTTTGGGGAGCAGAAAGGAGAATGGAGAGAGTGCCAGGAGGTGCGGGTTCTCGCAGAGCTCAGAGAGGAGCATGGACCGTCCTCCGCGGGCGTGCCCTGCCCATACCCCATGTTCCGCACTCACGCGCTCTCGAGCAGCTGCTCCAGGTCCTGCACCTTGCGGCTCAGCTCCTCAGCCGGCGGGAAGTTCTTGCCCACTTTCATGAACAGAGCTGCAATCTTGTTGCTGCGCAGAAAGCCAGCTGCCCGCCGCCGCAGCCCATGCAGGACGCAGGCCTCCACGGCCGCTGCAGGGACACAACCATCGGTCAGCAGGCCCCGCCCTGCCCACGCTCCCCTGCATCCAGCTCAGCACTCCAGTCGTACAGAGAGCTGCGGGCCCCAGAATCACAAAATTCGTGAAAGCCTCATAGGGAAAAGCACATATGCCTCCTTACTTTCCGCTCCCTCAAAAGGGAGCAAGGGATCCTAGCAGTTAACCTGTGCTCGCTGCCCAAGGTCAGGCTGTCCGCTCCCTCAAAAGGGAGGAAGAGAGCTTAGCAGTTAACCTGTGCTCACTGCCCAAGGTCAGGCTGTCCGTGTTCACGTCCTCTCCAGTGGATCTGAACCACACAACCAGTTGTGTGACCTGGGCAACTACCTCCCCTGTGTCTCAGTTTCCTCATCTGTGAAATGGGGATAGTATGAACCTATGTCTTAAAAGGTTGCTGTTAGAATGAGGTGGAAAGGGGCGCCTGGGTGGCTCAGTCGGTTAAGCATCTGCCTTCGGCTCAGATCGTGATCTCGGGGTCTTGGGATCGAGCCCCATGTAGGGCTCCCTGCTCAGTAGCCCTCTCGCTCTCTCTCTCAAATAAATAAATCATTTTTTTTTTTTTTTTAAGAATAAGGTTGGAGAAAAATGCATGGAAAGCACTTCATGTAAAGTCTGGCACATAGTAAGTGCTTTAGGAATATTAGCTATTACTCCTGCTGGTGAGGGAGGAGGGACTGAGACCACTGGACTGTCGAGCTTTATCTGGGTTAAAGAATCACATCAACATCATTACTGTGATCCCCGTAAGAGTTGACATTACGGATCTCATTCTGTCTCTGCCACAGCCAAGAAAGAAAAAGAAAAAACCACCCCCGTTTTTCAGATGTGAAAACTGAGGCTGTAAGAGGTGAAATGAATTGCCCAGGGCCACCCGGCAAATGAGTGACAGAACCAGGATTCAAACCCAGGCCTGAGCCCAAGGTGTGCTCACAACACTTGTGCCTCCACGAAGAATATGAAGAGAGGACTCAGTCATCACCTTCCCGTGCCTGTGTTTCCCCTGGGTGGTAGCCTGGGCTCTACCACTAACCTGCTGTGTGACCTCAGGTAAATCACTTTCCCTCTCTGGGCCTTAGTGTTCCCTCCTGGGAAACAGTCCCTGTGTAGGCCATTCTGATGGCCCCAATCTTATTTCTGGTACTTTCAGCAGGCCACTATTAACTATTTTCCTGCCTTCTGTCTTACACAGCAGACTGGGAGCTCACTCTGCTATGTAATAGGAGCATAATCAATGTCAATGGGAAAAGTGAGTCTATTGTAAGAGCTATTTCTTATTGGGTATCTGCCGGGTGTCGGACCAGTGTTGAGGTTTACCTTACCTAATCCGGTGGAAAAACCCCATGAAGTGAGTGTTCTAGTTGCCGTCCCTCCACACAAGGAAAATGCCAGAAGTCCACGGGGAAAAGCCTGGCCGGGGTCATGTTGTGCACAAGGAGAAATACTGAGAAGTTTTTGGTTCAATTACTTGTTCTGGGGTATTTTTGATGTCGTTGTTGTTGTTAGCAATTACTTAGCTTTTTCTTTAATTAGTTTTTTTTTCTTTAGATTTTATTTATTTGACAGAGAGATAGAGACAGCGAGAGAGGGAACACAGCAGGGAGAGTGGGAGAGGGAGAAGCAGGCTTCCCACCAAGCAGGGAGCTCAAAGCAGGGCTCGATCCCAGGACCCTGGGATCATGACCCGAGCCGAAGACAGACGCTTAACGACTGAGCCACCCAGGCGCCCCATCACAATTTTTTTTTAAGTAGGCTCCATGCCCAACCCCGAGATCAAGAGTCGTGTGCTCTACGGACTGAGCCAGACAGGTGCCCCAGCGATTACTTGGCTTTGAATGAATGCCCACTCTATTGCCTAATTTGCCCACGGGCTTAAAATATGCTGGGTAAGCATCTCCTAAACACCTTCATTTTTGCTTACATGCACAACACTTTTCATTTGTCTATATTGCAACAAGTTAATTATCTAGGCTTTGGAGACCTGGTTGATTCTTTCCGGCAACGGCTCATAAGGAACAATGGATCGGAGACACCTCAGGGAGACCCTGCAGGCCTTATTCAGAGCCATCACATTTCTTCTCTCATCCCAAAACTGTGGTTGAAGTTAGGCGATTATCAAGATTTTTATCACTTTCTATTCCTCTAAGTCTTTAACCGGTAGGTATGGTCGTACATTCTGAATTGGGCATGCCTGTTATTTTCTTTGCAAAGCAAAGAGAGATGTCCAAGAGAAAAAAAATAGGTAAATATATTCCCATATTCACATTTATACATATACATGTAAGTGTGTATATATGCAGCCTTACATATACACAAGTATATAAATATACATATATATGTAATTTAAACAAACATATCTCACTAAAAAAATAAAATAAAATTTTGCCAAGGTCACCCAACAAACAAGTGGCAGAAAAGGGATTTGAACCCAGGTCTGCCTGGCTGCAAAGGGGCTGAGCTGACATCAGCAGGCTCCCAGCTCTAGGCGTGAGCTCCCATGGGTGGTGCACCCAGCCGTCGGGATGAAGCTGAAGGGCTGGCCAGGTGTCCTCGCTCGGGCCTCTCCAGGAGGCCAAGACTGCGGGAGGGGAAATTACAGCACGTCCTTCCTCCCAAGACACCCCAGTCACGAAATAAAAAAGGTTTTCAGGGAGAAAGAAACACCCCCACTTATACGGACACGCTGATTAGAAGCTGAATCCTGACTGGGGACACACAAAACCTGCGTCTATAGCCACGGTGGAAATACGGTAAGAACCTGGCAGCGTGGTTATTTCTGGAAACTTTGTGAGCATAGCCGGTTCAAGGAGAGAAGTCTGAGTCATGCTCCGAGCCCCGGGCCTGCCTCCTTTGCTGAGCCAAGCTGGACATGATCCCACAGGAGGGGTCAATGGCTCCTAATTCCCTATATTTTTAAAGCCCATTCATCCTCTCCCTTTATTTAGGCAAGAGCTGTAGGCAGGGCGAGGAAAGGGCACAGAGCCTGTTCGTCAGATACGAGACCAGAGTCACTAGGGGTGTGGGTCGCCGTGCACTGAGCCCACGGGAAGGGAAGGCAGTCAGTCCCTCCAGCGTCAGCAGTGATGAACTCCTCGTGGGGTGCAGAGGCCAGGCCTCATTTCTTCTCTAGACTTTTCCGTATTTCCAAATTCCCTAATGGAGCCCCTTGGGAAACTGAAAATAACTTCGGAGTCACAAAGCGAAAAAGTGGTGTTGAGAAGGCTCACTTGCCAAGATGCCACTCCCCCGAGGCAGCCCACTGAGAAAGAAGCCACGTTTAAGGCCCACAGGCCACGGACTCACCACAGAAGGAGATGATGTGGCTGCTATCCTCATGGACAAACTTGCGTGTGACGGCCTCCTCCATGATCTGCTTCACCTGGAAGGCAGAGGCAGCTGGAGGGGGGCGGGGAGACCCAAATGCGACCTGGGGTGCGGCCACCCCAGAGGGCTGTGTTGCCCCCTCCAAGCCTTCTCAGGCCGGCTGGGGTGTTTGGCTAACTGCTTTCCTTCCACACCTCCTCACTGTGTCTTCTGTAAGCCTCAGGCCCGCGGCCCCAGAGCTCCACACTTCACATTTTACGGAATTATTTTTTTGGGCGCTCAGCATGGGGGCGGTTTCCTTTCAGGTGTCCCACGAAATGTCATCTCCTTCCTGGACCCCATTATCTGAGACAGCCCTACCCCCCTGCAAGACTCCATCCACACCTTGCTATAGTTCCTTCTGGGTACTTACGCTCTCCCTGTCTTAGGATATAAATTCCCTGGGGGCAGGGTCTCATCTGCCTTGTTCACTGCTATATCCACGGAGACTAGAACAGTGTCTGGTGCATAGTAGGTGCTCAGTAACTATTTTCTGAAGGAAGGAAGGAAGGAAGGAAGGAAGGAAGGAAGGAAGGAAGGAAGAAAGGAAACAAGTAGATAAAGAATCAGAAAGGTACAGTTGACAGATCGGCCCCGGAACCTGGAACCTGGCAGAGTTCCTCTGCAACATGCCATTAAGCCCACAGGTTCAAATCCCTGTTCAGGCACCTACCAGTTGGGTTTGTGATCTTGTTTTGAGAAACCGGGGCTCATCAAGCTGAAGCGACTTGCCTAGAGAAGTAGAGCTGGCCGAGTGGAGACAGAATTCCAGGCTGAGTCTGACTCCGCAGCTGTGTGCTCTTCCTACCATCCTCACATGCTCAACAAATATTTTCTGAGCACCACTGATGCTCCCGGCAGGGGGGACCCAGCGCTGAAAGGGCAGCCGTGCCTCTCTGCTCACAGAGGGGACCCTCTGGTGGCCTGAACACTCTTCTGCTTTGCTGGATTCTGGGCCCCACTCTGCCCAGAGTCATTATGGGGCTTTAGCAAAGCATTTCTCTTCTAGGGCCTCAGTTTCCCCACCTTGAGGTTGAGGAGGTCAGGAGAGATGACCTCCAACGCTGGTCCCAGCTCCACATCACCAGGGCTGTGATGTGCGGGTGACAGGAGCAGTTCTGAATCCAACCCCCTCCATGGGCTTCCTGGCTGCTCCGTGGCCCACTCAGCCTCTGCCTTGACTGGGCCAGCTCAGCAATGCCCCTGTCGGAGAGTGATCTCAGGCTCTCCATGCCCCTCTCTCCCTTCCTTCCTCTTGCCTCCTGGAGGGGAAGACAGAACTCAGAGCACCCCAGGTCCCACTCTGTGGGCAACACGTGGGGTGCCCACCCCACACGACCAAGTCAGCACTCTCCCTGTGAACGACCCCCAAGCTGGGCTTGGCCGGCTGCATTTCTCAGTCTGAAAGCTCTCCAGCCAAAGCCGTGGAACTGGTCCTATCCACGGGTGTGGAAACTGAGGCTCAGGGAGGCAAACTGGCCTACTCAAGGCCACACGGCTAGGAAGCAGCTACCGGTGGACTTTGGACTTAGACCGGTTTCTTTGCTCTCAGCACCAGCTGCCGTAGCCTGGGGCCCCTTTAGCTGTGTTCCCTCAGGCAAATCACATCACCTCTCTGAACCTTAGTTTTCTCATTGGGTAAAGGGCGTACAGGAATAGCACCTGCCTCCAGGGGCTATGGGAAGACTGAACAAGGTCGCGCACGCTGTGCGCTGAGCCCCGAGCCCCGCGGAGAAGGTGCCCGCGCTAAGCGGCAGCGGTGCGCATGCGTCCCCCTGCCGGAACCCTCACGGGGCCTCTTCTTACTGTTATTCTGGTCCCGGCTGAAATATTGCCGGCTCAGGAGAACAAATCCCCCTGCTTTCAGGGCTCCCAGGGTGGCTGCTTTACTAACACCCATCAGACTGATAACGGATTTCATCCTCATCGCCAGGCTGCGGACCTCCTGAGGGAGAGCACTCGGTGTGATCGCTGTGGCTCGGGGGCATCACAGGTGTTCAGTAAAATTCGGTTAGAGGGACAAATGGCTTGAAAGATCTGGCTTCTCCAAAGACACAGATGTAGTGAAAAGAAGGGCCATATGCACCCCAATGTTCATAGCAGCAATGTCCGCAATAGCCAAACTGTGGAAAGAGCCGAGATGCCCTTCAACAGATGAATGGATAAAGAAGATGTGGTCCATATCTACAATGGAATATTACTCAGCCATCAGAAAAGATGAATACCCAACTTTTACATCAACATGGATGGGACTGGAGGAGATTATGCTAAGTGAAGTAAGTCAAGCAGAGAAAGTCAATTATCAGATGGTTTCACTTATTTGTGGAACATAAGGAATAGCATGGAGGACATTAGGAGAAGGAAGGGAAAAATGGCCGGGGGGAATTGGAGGGAGAGATGAACCATGAGAGACTATGGACCTGAGAAACAAACAGGGTTTTAGAGGGGAGGGCGGAGGGGGGATTGGTTAGCCTGGTGATGGGTATTAAGGAGGGCACGTACTGCATGGAGCACTGGGTGTTATACGAAAACAATGGATCGTGGATCACTACATCAAAAACTAATGATGTATTGTATGGTGACTAACATAACATAATAAAACTAAAAACTACAAAAAAAAAAAGAAAGATCTGGCTTCTGCATTGGGAGACTATTTTGGCTGAGAAAACGCTTTTCTGTCACCATATTTGTGGGTAAATAGGAAGCAGCATTCACATCCCTGTTTGTCAAAGGAGCAAACAAAAGCCCAGAGAGGTGGGGTCATCGGCCCGGGTCACACAGCTGGTGAGGAGGAGAGTCAAGGCTTAGTTAGACCCAGGTTTGTCTGATTCCAGGGGCTGAGTTCCTCTGCAACATGCCATTAAGCCCATAGGGTATCAGAGCCTTTACCCACCCCACCCCCGCAAGTACCTGCCTCCTTCTTTCCTTTGCTCTCCTGAGGCAGGATACAGTGATGCAGGCCTACAACCCAGTGTCTGAGAACCTGCCGGGGGGGCTTGCCAAGCACCCAGACCTGGATGTCCCTTGGGAATAGAAGGGGGGGCAGTCCAGGCAGCTGGGTCAGGAGTGCTTTTGGAAAAGCGCAATGGTTCGTTAAGAGCTAAGAATTAGGGGCCAGATAGGCCTGGGTTCAAATCCCGGCCCAACCACTTACTAGCTGTAGGACCTCAGGCAAATTCCTTTACCTAGTACCAACTCCCAAAGTCAATAAAATCTGTTGGCTCTGCCAACCCGGAGCCTGACCATTTCTCATCCTCTCCATCAGTACCTCTCCGGTGCAAGTGGCCTTGCTCCAAGTCACATCCCTCCTGGATTCACACTACAAACTCTCGCTTATCTCCCTGCCTCCTCTTAACACGATCAGAAGGATCTTGTTAAAGGGTAAGTCAACAGAACAACCAGACAGAAGATCAATAAGGAAATGGAAAACCTGAACAACATTATAGACTAAGTGGACCTAAGAGACATACAGTACACTCGACCCAACAAGAGCAGAAAACACACTTTTCTCAAGTGCACATACAGGATATGGCATATTACAGATAGGGCACAAAACAAGTCTTAACAAATCTTCAAAGACTGAAATCATACTAGGTATCTTTTCTGATCACAATGGCATGAAACTAGAAACCAACCCTGTGAGTGGAAATTAAGCCACACACTCTTCAACAACCAATGGGTCAAAGAAGAATTCACAAGAGAAATTTGCAAATATCTTGAGACAAATGGAAATGAACACGCAACATACCAAAATCCATGAGATGCAAAGAAAGCAGTGATAGGAGGGAAATTTATAGCGGGGAAGTACTTATGTTAAAAGACTGGAAAAGATCTGAAATCAACAATCTATCGTTACACCTTGAGGAACTATAAAAGAACAAACTAACCCCAAAGCTAGAAAAGGAGCAGAGATAACAAAATAGAAAGCAGAAATACGATGGGAAATTTTAACAAAATCAAGAGTGGATTCTCCAAAAAGATCAGCAGAACTGACAAACCTTTAAGCCAGATTAACTAAGAAAAAAAGAGAGAAGACTCAAATAACTAAATCTGAATTAACACCAATCCTCCTCAAACTCTTCCAAAAACAAAACATTGAAGAAGAGGGAATACTTTCATTGTATGAGGCCAACATTACCTTGAAACCAAAGCCAGGCAAAAACTACAGACCAATGTCTCCCATGAATATTGATGTCAAAATCCACAACAAAATACTAGCAAACAGAATTTGGTGTATCTAGAAAGGTCAGCACACCATGACCAAGGGAGGATTTACAGCTAAAATGCAGGGATGGTTCAAGACACAAAAGCCAACAGATGTAATATACCACATTAACATAACAGAGAAAAAAAATACAAGAGCATCTCCCTTGATGCAGAAAAAGAATCTGACACAATTCAACACCCTTTCCTCAGAAAACACTCACTAAACTAAGAATAGCCAGAAACTACCTCACCATAATAGAGCTACCGTCCCATGCAATAGTGGGAGGCTGAAAGCTTTCCCTGCAAAGTCAAGAACAAGAAAGATAAAGATGCCTGCTCCCGCCTCTTGTATTTCACATAGCACTGGGAGTTCTAGCCAGATGAATTAGGGCAAGAAAAAAAAAAATCAAAGGTATGCAAATCAGAGAGAAAGAAGTAAAATGATCTCCGTTGGCAGACAACATGATCTTATGCACAGAAAACCCCAAAGACTCCACAAGAAGACTGTTGGTGGTTGTAAATACATTTAGCAAAGTTGCAGGATACAAAATCAACATGTGAAAATAAGCCATATTTCTATTTTTTTTAATTTACTTTTTATTTTTTTTTAAGATTTTATTTATTCATTTGAGACAGAGAGATACAGAGTGAGAGAGAGCATGAGCAGGGGAGAGGCAGAAGCAGGCTCCCAGCTGAGCCAGGAGCCAGACGTGGGGCTCGATCCCAGGACTCTGGGATCATGACCTGAGCCGAAGGCAGACGCTTAACTATCTGAGCCACCCAGGCGCCCAATAAGCCGTATTTCTAAAC